TCCTCAAGCAAACTGAGTTGGAGGAACTCAATACCTTATAGGATTAATAGGGATACAGAAACACAGCCTTGTTAAGTCTCCGATAAGTGGTTATATATGTTTTTTTTTACACATAAATGAAAAGCCCTAGCTATACAGTATTGTATATGGACTAGAAATATAAAATCATAAACATAATAACATTCACATGTGATATCCTGTAAATGAAAACATATTAAATGAAATAATAGACTACTGTGTTTTATTGTAACCCTCACGTATGAATAAGGAAGACTTGCGATGATGATGATGATAATAGATTTGTTGGCTGAGAGGTTGGTTTAAGGCCAATGGATCATCGGTAAATTCGGCCTCAAACTTGAATGAAGCAGATGTAGAAGTCGATGGGATGGGGTCAGAAGGCATTACATTGGCTGACTTGGGCTTTGTAAAGTCAGTAATTTTTGGCTATTTGGCTTTCCTCCACCGATCTTTCAAGATTTCTCTGTAGAGTACTAGAATGTCGTTAAACCCTCTTTTAGATTTAATGATTCTCTCCATTATGGGATCCATGTCTACAGCCATTTCTACAAGATCATCTGCCTTGCATAGGAAATCGGACACAGTCTTCGCTGTGAGTATGAGTTTAGCAAGTTCGGTCTCTTCAGCATCTTCATCACTATCACTGTTAGCTATCAGCACTTTAAGTTCTTCATTTGTTGGCTATTGGTAATGGGATTCCAGCAGCTCAACCATCTCTTCATCCCTCATATTATCAAACCCCTCACCATCGATTTCTCAACTGTCAGAAAGCCCTTGAAATTGTTCACGACTTCAAGCCAAAGATGATGCCAGCATGCATTTATGGTAGACTCTTTCACCTTTTCCCATGACATTTGGGTGATATCGATACAGTCCTCTATGTTATAAGCTTTCAAAAACCTGGTTAAATTTTCGAAATCACTGGAGTCTATAACTTGGGTTGCAGTTCGGTAGACATTCTTTGTATAGTAAGACTTGATTGTCTCTATTACTCCTTTGTCCATCAGTTGCAGGATGGATGTGTTATTGGAAGGTAAAAATATTATCTCCACATTAGGATGGCTGAATTACAGTGTGTCAGGGTCATGGACAGGAGCATCACCCAAAACTAGAAGAACCTTAAAGTCGAGGTTCTTCTTTGCCATGTATTTTTTAACCTCATGCACAAAATGATTTTGTGGTCAGTCTTTCAATAGCATTCTAGTTACCCAAGCCTTTTTATTTGAACACCAAACATCCAGCAAACATCACTTATTCTTGCCTTTTAACCCTATCGTCCCAGGTACCCTTTATTGTCATAACACAAGATTTTAGTGTCTTACATTCAAAATTTTATTAAACTACTTTTTTTATGTTATACCAATTAGAATAGCATAAAATCTTAGCTAAGGAACTATATTTGAATAGCATACAAGTTTCAAGTTCTTAATTCTACAAGGAAATATTTTTAAAAATCCTGAATTTCCACTAGTGTGATCCACATGACACATTTTGTCTTAGCATGTCATCATCCCTATTTTATCCATTACCCCTCAAAAATGTACGATATTAAATGCAAAATGCTTTTTATAAAATCTTTATTGCTCAAACAAACCATAATTTTTATAGCCATCAATACTGTTTGGATACAGAGCTATCGAGTAGAAAATCAGCCCCCTCCTGCCACATCCTGTCTTTCACAATTTGTTGATATTTCTCTCTTACGTTTAATTATATATTACCTTAATAAATAGAAAGTCACGGTTTTCATCTGTCAATGACATATCATATGGCATTGTATTCTGAACAGAATATTTTCTGTCAATTTTACTCACAGTACAAGATTTGTTCCCATGCGAAAGTAAACGACTAGCTTGGATAAATTTGTAATGGTTCCTGTTGCATTGTTAGAAAGACAGAAAAATTTTGAGAGGTAAGTGAATTTGTCTACTTTATGCATGTTATTAGTCTATATTTTTTGGTGCATTATTTAATTAATTAAAAATTATTAAGTGCATTACTATCCATAGTATATAAAATTAGGGTTAACTCTCGTCATAAACCCGAGAGCAAGAAAAAAAAAGATTGGGTAAGTACTTTATTTCTTGTTTATTTATTATTATAAAAGTAACTAAAATCTAAAAATATTGATCTTTTTCAAGTTATTTAAGACTAGATTAGGTAAAATAAGTAATGATAATAATATAATTAAAATGGTTTACGAGGCACATTACCTGAGTGATTTACAACTTATAATGGTGCAGATAGTAGTTAAACACTGTTCCAAGGGCAATTAAATTTAATTATAAATAGATATATATTTTTACGAACTTAGAGCTCCTTAGGATAAACGAATGTAGTTTCATGTTACAATTTGAAGTCATCCTAGAAGAAAAAAAGGTTAATTTAGGTGTGTGTTGTTGTTTTTGTTTTTTTGTTTGTGTGTGTGTGTGTGTGTGTGTGTGTGTGTGGTTATGGGATTGGTTGAATTGACCAATCCTGTTTTGAGAAAATGATAGAGAAAATAACAGATAAACTATAAGGTTTTACTGAAAAAACATTTGCAATGCATTTAGGAGGTTTTAGGGATTACACAAAGGAAATTTGAGTTTTTTAATTTTAACATAAAAATCACTTTTTTGTATGTGAAAGATTTGTAATATTAACTGAAAGACTGCCAGACTTCATGAAGATATACCAAATATATTTAGAGTTATAAGTATTAAATTTATAAAGACTTTAAACAAGAGCAAAAGGACATGTGACTCAGTCAAATTCACCAACCCCGTAGTGAGAGAGTTAATGAGTGTGGATTCGCGAAGTGATACACTAATATAGGCTTGCATTTAAAGTCACCCGACCTCGTAACCATTTTGTGCTTGTTATAGTTTTCATGCCATAACTTGAAAATTAGTGACAAAGGCATATAGGTTTAGTAGCTTTTGCAATAACAAAGACCAGCTGAGCAAGTTCATTAGCAATTAGAACTGAACTCGAGACCCTCCCCACTTACCCCATTACGTAGATTTGTGCTTAATAACAAAAAACCTTGCTGGTAATATTTTCGATTACTTGGATAGTTGGAATAATCAGAAACCCTAATTTCAATTAGTTGATTATCCTCTTGACAACTGACTTAAATGTAATTGTGATTATTCAGATGTTGAAATAATCAAAATCAATAATAATCCAAATAACTAATTTTGATCAGTTGATTATTTTTCATGACAACCAATTTCATTATAATTTTGATCAATTGATCAGTAATAATCTGAACAACTAAACTGAGTTGACTGTATTTGTGACAATCAATTTAACTCTTTCAGCACAGGCTCGGTCCCTAGGACTGAACTCGTAACCATTTTGTGCTTGTTATAC